CTGTCTGTCTGTCTGTCTGTCTGTCTGTCTGTCTGTCTGTCTGTCTGTCTGTCTGTCTGTCTGTCGGTCGGTCGGTCGATGAACATAATGACATTCGGTGGTTCACATGTTAAAATGTAAATTGGGCTCAAGAAAGAAAAAACCTTATCAATGAGTTATTTCTCTATCCTTTATGAACTGCATTCTGTATTTGTCCCTGATTTAAATGAGAATTAACATGTTAAGAGATGTTTCAGTGTCGTCCTTCTCATAACCATATAGCTGATTTCTGTAAACTGCAACACGTCTTTCTGAAGAAAGGAACTGGAGAAAGTAGTGTGTCATAAAATTACAAAAAATTCCTGTTCTTCTGAAATTCAGCAGGCAACAGCACAGAAGGGAGTTTCCTGTTAGGGAAACCTGCCGGTGCTCCTCCTGTTTATCCGTCTGGACAGGTTTGTTAATGGGCATTCTTAAAAACACCTGAAGCAGGTTTTATAGCTGCTCTCTTAGAAATTATGAATGTCTTAAAAATGTGTTTTAGGATGAGAAATAACTGCATAAACATTTTCCCTCAATGCTTCTGCCTCTGACTTCTCTAAAGCAAAGCAGACAAAAATGTTTCCTGTTGTGGTTTTCACTGTTTTTAGGTCGAAGGGGCAAGCTCTGGTACGTGCAGCTTTTCAGTCAGCTGTGTTTCAACACCGACCCGATAGAAGTTAACTTAGTATGAGCTTCTTATCCAAGTTTGGGAACTATCATTAAGTACTTTTTCTACTTTCTGTATCTGGAAATTATAATAAAAACAAAATAATTTTAGATGAAATCCCCTGAGCTGCACTATCTGTTGTTAACTGGAGGATTGTGTTGTTCTGAGAGGAACGTGATAATCAGCCCACAAGGTTTTGCATTTAAACACCCACTAAGCCCTTTGGCAAGTAAACATGCCCTTTAAAACAATGCAGCTAACTTTTTCATATTATAAAACACAAAATTCATTTTAAGTGGCTTGGATGGATCACTCAGAATTTTTCTAAACTGATATTTAGACTTAAAATCAGAGCTACAGCTTAATGTTTGAGGTCATTTTCCTGCAGGAAGGATAATCTCTTTAGCTGTCTTTAACACTTCTTTTTTAACTTTTCCCAGCCGCTGTGATCAACTTCTCTGACTCTGCTGAAGGGAAACAAACAAAAAAAACTAAAATATGATACTGACGCCACTGTGGATGGGATGGGGGATTTTTTTGTGCTTTTTTTAAGGTGATGTGCAGCAGTGATTAATTTAACTTGTAGGCCAGAAGTTACATCATTTTGGGCTCTTCTGACCAAAACACCTTCTTCCAAGTATGTTTTGTCCACTGCATTGCAATAAACTGCAGAGAAGACTCCATATGGCTTTATTTTCACCACTCTGAATGCTAGGTTTGCAGAGTGCATAAGAAATAATAGTTCAGTTATAGATTCTTATAATCCCATCCAGGGTTATCACATCCTTATCAGAGCTGCTTTTATACTGAGATTAAGCTAAGTGCACTTATGTACCAGGATCAATGTGCGGAGGTAGAGATTTTTCTGCATCAAAAATATATATCTCTTTAAGTTTCCGCATATTTCTAATATTTTTTTCTGCTCTGAAAAATATACACGATCTAACCCAGACGACTCGAATTACATTTTGGGTATTAGACTCACCCCATGATAACGTTTATAGGTACAGGAGAGCAGTTAAGAGTTTCAAATAAAAGAAATGAACGCAAAAGACTCGACAAACAACCGAAGATAAACCAGATCAGACATCTGCTCTGAGAAAACTTGTTTTGTGAGGTCTTTGATTTATATTTATATTCAGATTAAACTCTCCAGAAGAACAAATCTTGTCAGTTGACCATCGAGCAATAAAGGCCTAACAAAAAGGATGCCAGACGTTATTTAGTCTACAACTGAGTGTTATCGTTAGATGTGACCTTCTTTATTTCCAAATCAGCTGTAGCAGTCAAACTCAATGACAGAATGAGTGAACCGGAGTCTATAAGATTGGTCCCCTTACAGGTACTGACTTATTAGTCCTCATTCTGTCTACAATCAGAGCTCTAAAGGTTCTATTTAAAGATATTTGATATAAATATTTGATTACCAAAACCCCAAATTTTCTTGATTAGAATAAATAAACATCCAGTTTAAGTTGTTCACAAAGTCATAATCTTTGAAAATAAAGAATCAGCCCTGTTCTGTGCAACATAACCAACAGTTTTGAGAAGTCATTTCACCCCGAGTGCTTTGTCTAAAAAGTCAGCAAAGTTCTTCGGCTGTCCAGGTGGGAATGGCTGCAGAACTGAGAGGTCCATGTTCTTCAGAGTCTCTATCAGTGTGCTGGACACACAAAAAACAAAACAAAAACACTGTTAATAGTGTTTATCTTCAGGCATCTGGCATGTGTGAGAGAGAGAGAGAGAGAGAGAGAGAGAGAGACCTGCAGGTACAATACAGCAGGTGGTGGTCCATGTGCAGCTGCCTGGCCAGCTCCAGCTGGTGGTTGTCCATCAGTTTGTCATTGACTACAACCAGCAGAGGTTTTCCAGCACCGAGAGCCTCCAGACAACTTCCTGCCCCTGACACGTCAAAAAAAATTATCATATTAATAATGATAACAAAGATTCACTGTGAGAATTAAAGAGTGCATTTTTATTTCCCTCGGGTTTTTACTTTTTATTGTCCAAAAAGCAGTAAATTGTGTGCAGTATAAATTAAATCGGCTTGTTGCTGTCAGACTCATTATCAAAGTACCTTCAGAGAAAGAATCCAGCAAGACCTCCTTAAGATCTGACTGCAGACTGATGTTTAATATTTAACCCCTAAAAGCACAGTTCAAAGTAAAAGACAAATAAATAAGAAAAAACTCCCACAACTCTAAGCAGGCAGACGAAAACAAGGAATTCCAACAATTTTAAGAATGATTCATTCATTTATTTTGAAGCACTTAAGTGCATAAAAAGCAAAAATATTGAATATAAAACATCAAAACGTTCATTAAGAGAGCCAGTCGTTCTCAGTGTAAATAAAACCAAAGATCTCCTGAATAATTCTCTCCTCTGCGATAATCATTCAGGCGGTTACTTCCCAAAAAGCCACACGTCCTGAGGTGAAACACTGGACCCCATGCTGCCCACTCACACCGCTTACCACGTATGAAATAAATGAATGCATGGGTGTTTCTATTTGTTCGTTAAGTTGTTGGTAAGACTAGACAAACATATAGGAGCAGCTCATTGAGCATGACCAGCAACCACGGTCTGTTTTTAGCTTCTGTTAGCGAGTTATAATCCATCCCTCTCTCTCTTTACTGTTAAAGACATGCAGGATTATTTATTTAAAGAGTTTAAGAGACTCAGCATTAATTTGCTCTCTAATGTTTGGTCAATTGGACATTTTTATCCGTATGCTGCCATATATGCCTGAATAAATTAATACTTAAAATAATTGCACTGTTAATATCCTACTTGTCACACTAGTGATTTCTTATCCGTCAACAGTTTGCGTGTCCATCAGGAGCTGGAGCTGCTGTTCTTGTGTGTCGATTCTATATCCATTTGTATTGTAATAATCTCTTAATAGTATAGTGTTAGATTTTCTACTATCCTAAATCAAAAACCTGCAGGTTACTCGTTTATTCTGTGCTGTTGGAACAGATACATAGATGCATGGCTCAGAAATCAGCAGGACAGAAACCTGACAGACCCATAACAACACAGAATCCAAGCATCAGTCCTTCATACACTGACCAGTTCCTGAGGAAGATATGGTATGAAATATTATACTATTGTGGTTCTTTTGATTGTTTATGTGGAGCTAATGATAATTTATTTAACATTCTCTATTTTAGGCACCATAAGAGTGATGAGGCCTTATTTTGGTGGTATTAAAAAAAACATGTTCTACTTTTAAAAAGGTTTTTTTTTTAGCATCTATCTGTGTTTATTATTTTTTATTGTAAGGACTCAATATTCAGGTCAAAGAATGAGTAATTATCTATGAAGCTTGATGTCAAAGAGAATGAGAAGAGTTTAAAGCTGTTTAATAGCTCGAATAATACAGCTTTTTGGGTAATGGACAGTGGAGCCAAAAGTACACACATTTGTTACTTAAGTAGAAGTATAGATACTGCAGTTTAAAAACACTCT